CACTGCCAGTTCAAAGCAGATAATGGGGGATTTTATTCAGCTGTGTGGAAGGGGCCTCAGTTTCATTCTCATTTAACCCGCAAACCTTTTTTTTTGGGGGGGGGGGTGCTGATCTCCAGGTCTTTGCATGAGATGCATGGTGACCACTCCATTTTTAGAAAAGAAAATGCCACATGGGAACTTTATTATGATAGCAACATAAGAGAATGAAAGATTAGTGTGTCCCTACCCCTTGGTGCCATTTCCCCAAAATAAGCACACCTTCTTGAAAGTGCCACTTGCCTTGGGAGAGGAATTAAGAATGACCCTCATTCTGCTATTTTACAAGTTGCTGTGCTTTGGGATCCTGCCAAGTAGCAGTTCAGCTGTGTCTATATTTTCTTAAACACGCACACACACACACTTGGGAGGAAAATCCAAAACAAAAACCCAAGTAGATGTTCCACATCAGATCAAAACACCAGATGTTGAGATATGACTGGGCGCGCTCTCTCTCTAGCGAGTGTCAAAAGCCTTTTGGCACAGATGCTGCCGGTTGCCTGTCCAGAACTCCAGCAGTGATGGTGAGTGCTAAAGAATGCCATAATGTTACAAAGTCAGGGCTGTCCCATATTGTTCTGTTGCCTGGGGCAGAGCAGCAAACTGGAAATTATTCCCACTGTATGTAATTTATTCCCACTGTATGTAACCGCTTTGAGTCCCCCTTGGGGTGAGAAAAGCGGTATATAATAGGGCTGGGCGGTTTCGTTTCGTAATTTTGTAATTCGTTAAAAATTCGTTATTTTTTTTATAACAAAGTGATATTGAACCATTCAGGAGCAACTAAAAAATGAAACGAATTTTTCCAATTCGTTTCGTAATTGATTCGTTATTGATTCGTAAATGTTTCGTTATTATTTCCGCATGTCTGGTGCAAGTTTTAGGGTTGCTGTTTGTTTTCTCAGTGAAAAAAATATAATTATCACACCAACAGTCAACAACAGAGGGAGAGGGAAGCTTCAGAAGTTTTTTTAGCGTATTGCGCGATCGCGGCCGCCATTAACGAATCGATTCTTAAACGATTCGTAATTGTTTCATGATTTCCGAAATTTCGGAACTTTCGGAATATCGAACTTTTTTTAAGGAAAATTTTGGAATTCTTTTAAATAACGAAACGCAAAAAAACCCTAAAAACGAATCGAGTTTAGAAACAAATTTTTCCGTGTTTGGACAGCCCTAGTATATAAATACTGTAAATAAAATAAATAAATAACTTTAGGGAATTCAAGGTTGATGAAGCCATGAGATGGAAAGAATACTGAAAGTATCTGAAAAATGGCTAAAAAACAATTTTTTCAAATGTTTAACAATCCTGCCAAAAATAAATTCTAGACTTATACAAATCTTTACAGTTGAGGACTTAATCTGTGCAGAATTTTGTTGTAGAAGCATTTTCTGTGCAGAATATAATCTCTATACAGATTTTCTTCTGAGCAGAAAATGATGTTTTCGGTACAAAACTGCATATTTTGTGCAGAATGCCTCTAATTGTAAACAGGCTTTGGAAACGACATGGTTTTGAAAGATTTTCATGTCATTTAATAAAATAACTTGTTTCCTTTGAGAAGAAACTCTGTGAAGAATGACATCTCTAATGTCTCTCCTTTGCCACGGACCTCAGAGTGGGATTGCCCGCCATGCTTGTTGTCTTTCTGCGTGCAATCTGTTGCCATCCTCATTCGCCTGCACAGCCACCTATATCACATTATTGGGAACAGATATCTCAATAAAATATGGTCCATTCCCCTTACTGTTGATTCTTTGACTTTGCAAGATGCCTCACTAGCAGTAAATGACCTTATGGACTGAGGACCTAAAGCAGTCTTTTCTCATGGAGGTTCCTTGAGTTCTGTTCAGAGCACAGGTATCTTGTCAAGTGATGTTATTGTCTCATTACAGGCAATTAGGTTTACTAACAGTAAGGCATGTAAGAAATGGTTATGCAATGACGAACTTCTGGTTCCTCTGAAAAGAATCTTCAAATTGGTCAATGTCTTAGGTCTTCAAAGACGTCTTGGGATTTGTCATGGAATAAACTAACAAAGGAAAACACATCTACTGGCAATTTTGGGATGATCTGTAGAGCTATGAGTGAAATAGCCATATTTCCATACATCCCTAATGAAGCCACCAGCTTGGTAGCACAGCCTGTCACGTGCTTTTGCAATTCAAGAATTTTGCAGTATAGAAGTAAAGTCTCTAATATATGCATAATTAAAACAAGACTAGGCAGGTAATTGGACAAAGTAAATTCATTTCTGAATATTGGTAATCCAGAGCACTGACCCTCATAAATGATGGAGTTTGATTACATTTTCTGTGATGCAACAGAGGCTGGTAGTGGCAAACAGAAGAATAATGCTGTAAACTCACATCTTGACTACATAATTCACACAACACATGGAGATTCTGATAATATGATCTGTGATTCCACATTTGTCTTCCTGGAAAGAAATCTCATTGAACTGTTAGCATCTTGTGATATCAAAAAGTACATAAGCATTCAGAAATGCAAGAAAACATCATCTCAAGCGTAAATGTAAAAAAAAGCAGAATATTACACTGTATGCAAATTTCCTCTACATACTTCCATTATTTATATGAGGGATGGAGAAAAGTGTGGCCCTTTGCATGTTGAACTTTAACTCCCATCTGCCAACAGTAGGGGATGATGGGAGCCATAGGCCAGCAATATCTGAGGAGATGCATCATCGTCATCGCTGGTTTAGATAGGGAAGGTTTTTAAAATCTTAATCCTATTAACTACACACCTACATGGTGAACGTTGATCTCAGTGAAAGTTTGGCTGCTTAACAGGACCTCATAAATACGTTACGAAAAATAGTGAATCAGAAAAATTTAGACATTGTGTTGTCAAAGGCTTTCATGGCCGGAATCATTGAGTTGATGTAGGTTTTTCGAGCTGTATGGCCATGTTCTAGAAGTATTCTCTCCTGATGTTTCGCCTACTTCTAAGGTAGGTATCCTCAGAAGTTGTGAAATCTCACAATCTCTGTGGACGCCTGCCATAGATGCAGGTGAAATGTCAGGAGAGAATACTTCTAGAACACGGCCATAAAACCTACAACAACCCAATTTACACATTATCCAGTACGATTTTTGGGATTACCAACACTTCCTTTTAGGGTGGAGGTTATAAAACCTAACTGTAGGAAACCCTTCAGCAAGGCACGGCAGCATGAAAACTGAAAAAAATATAATACACTGGATAAAAACATATTTTTGCATATTATGAAAAGTTCAAGTAAGTAGGAAACATCAGCAATATAAACACCCAAAATTTCTCCTCACCATTCCCTCCCAAAACACTGTGGTACATAATTCATCCAATTCTACATTTTTATATCTAGTACCATAATGTACTAAGGAAAGAGTTCTGGATACCTTGAAAATTATTGAGTAAGCAGAAGGTGATCTAATTACCCATTATCACTAGGCCTGATTATGATGGGATACTCAAGATTATGACACAAAACAGAATCTGTAATCTCACTCTGGAAGATCTGGCAATTTAATAACAGCAACATCTTCACAGTTGAGCTGCCACTGTGTATACTTACAAGTGTGAGTACTAAAAATAAATTTGGATGGAATCGTCTCATGTTTGCTCTTTGCATATGCTGAGTCATGTAAATGCACAAGACGTCTGTCTCTACTAACACGTGCAAAGATGGGCAGAATCCACTGTTTGAAAAGGTGGCATATTATTAAGAACCAATGGGTGCTCAACCATTCCTTTTCAGCAAGAACAAAATGATCCTTCCAACTTACCAATATGAGAGATCAAGATTAATGTAATGAGAGCAAGTACAGTACAGATACGATTACAAATGTTTGAAAATGTTGGCAAGTGTCTATTGAACACTGGCAAAAACATACAGTGCATTTCTGCCTCTCAAGGACACGACATATCGCATTGACCGTCTTAACGAAAAACCCTTCAGTGACCACTACATTCAAAAGGCACTTGCAATGTTGTGCAAAAACACAGCATTTACATGTTGCAATTCTGTTCCGAAGACAGGAGATTAGGCTGGTATGAAAATGGATTAAAACATGTAGCTTTGAAACCAGCACAAGTCTGGTGGAGAACAAGTTCAAATTGTTCTGTTCTACAGTCTGACGACAACCAACACATAGGTTTTTGGATGATTATTATTTTTGCTACAAAAATCAGCTTTGATGTGGGAAGGCTAAGTCTGCATTTGTAACCAGGCTTACCTGAACACAAGTCCAACAGAGAGAAAACGGGCTTAAGGAGCCATGGAAATAGCTTTGCTGGTGCTGACTTTTAGCTACTTCAGTCACAAGCTGTTTTGCTGCCTCCTAGCGGACGCAGATGCTGCATATCATAAAAAGACTCCAGTAACATTGCTCTTTAGGCACATGCAGGCATATTCCCAAAGTCCAAATCTGTACAAGGAAGCTATTCCACACAGCAGACTGAAAATCAGTCTTCCCCACCCTCTAGCCAGTTTATACTGAAACCATCACAAAGATCTGAGTGCTCTTCCAAGTTACTGGAAGATTATTCATGAGACTGAATGCCACAGAAACTGAACTCCTACTTTTCAGTGACTTAGTGAATCCTATGCAAAAAACTCACTGGGTATGAGCTGCAGCAGGGAAGAGCTCCTTGCCCCACCCCAGCCATTCCACAGATATATAAACCCATTGTCCTAACTCCAACAGACCTCACTACCTCTGAGGATGCTTGCCATAGATGCAGGCAAAACGTCAGGAGAAATGCCTCTAGAACATGGCTCTATAGCCCGAAAAAACCCACAAGAACTCACTGGGTATGATTCAGAGGTAAAACACATTCATTTACTTCCCATGGGAAGCAGAGATTGTTCTCTTCTAGCTTTCTAGCCTACAGAGTAGCCTGTTTGTCCACTGTTTCACAGGTGGGGTTAGGTGTCCGTTTCAGCACAAAAGTAAGTGAGAGGACTGCGGGAAAAATCCAACAGATGCCCTACTGACCAAGTTTTAAGTCCGTAATCAGAGCATGAAAATCCTCCACAGGACAGAGGTAGCATATTGTCAGGACTGCCAGTCTCATTTGGATGATTCAGAATCAGTTGTGCAGCATCTATGGGAAGAGCCAGGGTGTCCTTGAATCCCATGGCATTTCTTTTTCCTTCCAGAAGAACACAGTCCAATATTTAAACAGGCGGCAGCTTTGGTATCTTTGGAATTCATTCCAGGACTCAAAGTTCATCCTGAGGGTCAGAAAGAGTCAAGGAGAGTGAGGGAGAAAATGAAAAAAAGTTACTGTATATACTGAATATAAGCTGAGGCACCTAATTTTACCACAAAAATCTGTGGAAACATATTAACTCAAGTATAAGCTGAGGGGGGCTTCTTCAGTTTAAAAAGAGGGCTGAAAAACTTATATTCAAGTATATATGGTAAATGGAATATGTATTAAAATATTCCATTCATATATCATGAAGCTTGGGAACTTTAGATTCTAGACCATGTTTACATTAGCTACCGCTATTGACGGATGAGCACTGTTTCATTCTGAGTTTTATGTTGTTGTTTACCTGCTTATATGTTTTATTTAATTGTATTTTATATTGTGTTCTATTTCATGTTCTGCTTTTTAGGTGCATTGTGTCTTGTGTAAACTGCCCTGAGTCCCTTGGGGGTGATGGTGGTGGGATACAAGAATAAAATTATTATTATTATTATTATTATTACTACTACTACTACTACTACTACTATTGGGGCCGCAGTGGTGCAGCGGGTAAAACCGCTAACTGCAGGAAAAGCTGCTGACCAGAGGGTTAGCAGTTTGAAGCCATGAGTTGGGGTGACTGTCAGCCCTAGCTTCTGTCAACGCACCAGTTTGAAAGCATGTAATGCGAGTAGATCAATAGTACTCCCTCAGTGGGAAGGTTAAAGTGTGTCCCCTGAAGATATGCTAGAAAAACACAATCGGAGATGTCTATGGACAACAGATTCCTTGTCATGGAAAAATGGAACAAGAGCATTTCCCCATGGCCAGAGTTGAGCATCGCCTCCAGATGCAGGAGATGGAAAAAAGGGAAGGCCTTTACCTTTATCTATGTATTGTATTGCATGCCATTGTGTAAAAAGGCACTTAATGCTTGCCTTATATGTACTGTAATTCGCTCTGTATCCCTCCAGGGAGATAAAGGAGAATATAAATAAAGTATATTATTATTATTATTATTATTATTATTATTATTATTATTATTATTATTATTTTGCTGGAAATGTCTAAATTATATTTAACACACGCATTTTTGTTTTTATATGGCTTTGTGATGACTGTGACTTATGACGACACTCTCTTCCTAAGAGGCTGAGAGTGTGTGATCTGTCTAAGGTCACCCAGTCAGTTTCCTCAGATGAGTGGGGATCTGATCCCTTGTCTCCTGAGTCCTAAACCACACTGGCTCAGAAACTTATATTACAATTACTTTTTCTAATATATTTTTCTCAAAGTCGCTCTTCACACTGTACAAGTTAAAAAAATGCACCTCTTTGCTAGTTATTTAATATGTTTTGAATGCAAAGCTTCCCTTCCTCCTTTGAAATGCAACATTGATAACACTATGTAACAAAATTTCTGTTCCTGGTTTGAAAGTGTTATTTCCTGTTTAATTGTCCAGTACTTTGAAAGTAGCTGTTATACTCGAGAAACTTCAAGAAACTTGTTATAAATTATATTGAATTGATTGAGACTTTGAGATATTCATTGAAAACTATAGCAAAATGTGCTGCAGGATGTCCCGCAAAAACAAAGATTTTGCAGTTTAATCAACCTTTTCCTTGTTTTTATGCTCACTCCTTGAGAAGGGCGGGTTATAAATGCAAGAAAAATAAGTAAGTAGAACCAATTGGGAAATGACATAGTGTAATAATCCTGGTTTGACTTCACAACAAGGTATCTAGAAGAGGAATAATTAAAGTTGCTTGGATATGAGTTGAACATTCAATCAGCTGAAGGATCAGTTGTATCAACACAACAATTAAGTCAAACAAGTGGCACTCGTGGATCTCAAAACAACATGGCCCACCTTGTTCCTGGACGATTTTTTCCTCTTATTTTTTATTTCTTCTACTTTCGCTGTCAGTATTTCAGCTATAGTTTTCACATCAAGGCTGTTTATGTGTTCTCCAACTGGATTTTTCTTTAGACAAAGAACAGAGCAAGAGAGGGTGAAAGTTACCACATTTATGTGCTGAAGCAAACAATTTGCCACTATTACTATGAAAAAAAATATTGCCATTAAAAAGGATTATCTCGACAAAAATATTCTTGGAGTTTTATTTTAAAGAGAGGGGAAGTAGTAGGTCAGCGCCATGCCTATTCTGCTGTTAAGACTGTACACCTACGTTTGGCGTGATATATGTATAATTTATGTACTCAAGGACTTTCTTAGCTGCCACAGTGAATCAACTACTTCACTGATAAAATCATTAGAATCAATTCACAGTTTGGGTTTCTACAGATGAGCCTGGGAAAAGTTGTAGGGGATGAAGAACTGAGAGTATTCCAATGTAAGAGGTTCCCTTCAATGTTTTTGGTTCATTTAGGGCAAATTCCCCATCTCATTTTCTGGAGCATGTAGGGCAGGCATGGGCAAACTTTGGCCTCCCATGTGTTTTGGACTTCAACTCCCACAATTCCTAACAGCCCACTGGAATTGTGGGAGTTGAAGTCCAAAACACCTGAAGGGACAAAGTTTACCCATACCTGATTTAGAGGCTTGTGGAAAAAGTTTGTTATTGTTCTCTGCCCCTAAGTCCTTTCCAACTTAGGTTGACCCTGAAGTTAATCTATCCGAGGGGCGGTTGAGGGGTTCTTGGTATGAATTGTTCAGAGGGAATTTGCTCTTGTTTTTATCTGAGACTGAATGAGCGTGACTCACCTAAGGTCACCTAATGGGTATCCATGACCACTCATGGGTTTGAACCTTCATCTCCAAAGTCCTAGTCCCATGTTCAAACCACATCACTCTGATCTGGGGTGGAAATCTTAGGGGAGCACCAAAACACTCTGGGGAAGCCATAGGGAGCCTTTCCTTGCCACTTCTTTCCTTGCCACTTCTATGAGGTCAGTATTGTCACTCCTCTCCAATGTACTTTTGAGAGGGTCCTTTTCAAGCCCTACTTGAAGATAGACAGGACTGAAACCAGAATTGACACATGCAAAACAAGTATTGTACCCATGGGATACAGACCCCCCCCCCCATAGCTAAAAGAACAAGTTGTTATACCTTTGTTCCCTGATAGGGATAAAACTTAACCGTTGGATATGCCCTGATTTCAGCAGACTGACAGATATGAGCGTGAGCTTGACAGTCAACTTTCCCAGCTTTCAATTTTCCTTTAACAGTCTTTAAAAGAAAGAGAGAGAAGGAGAAGAAGGGAAGTGTTAAAAGTCCATTGCACACTCCACCTTCCCAGTAAAAAGAAAATAGCATTCAAGTTAGGGATTAGTGAAACTGAAAACAAAACAAAAAACAAAATCATTAAAAGCACCATTGCAAAACAGGGCAGAACCTGAACTAAGAAAAGCATGTATAGGGGATGATCCTACATATTTTTATTCTGACCTTAAAGATATCTCATGCAAATACAGGTATTCTAAAATCTGAAAATAACTGAAACTCAATACACTTTTTGATCCCAAGCATTTTGGATACTCAACTTGTACTGTGACTCATTACTGTCGTTATTAGTCATTACTAAAGATGGGCAGAACCTTTACCTTAGCCAAAATCTCGAATTCTGGTGCAAAGTTTTGGCAAGGGCCACACCAAGGAGCATAGAAGTCAATAACCCAGTGATCTTTCCCATTAAGGACTTTGTCAGTGAAGCTCTGAGGTGTCAGATCCAGAGATACTTGAGGTAAATACCTTTGAAAAAAAAGGAAGAGGATCTTAAGAATTTTAGTTACATAAGCCACTTTGAAAAATTATTCAGTAACAAAATTAACACTTTCATGTGTTTCATGTCAACAATGTATAGTTTTTACTGTCTAAAGATGGGAAGGCCTGGAAAAAAACGAGAAAAAAAATGGGGCTGGAAAAACCAACCCTCCTCCAATTTTTCTGTTTTTTTCCCCATTTCTCCCTCAATTTTTCCTGTTTTTTCCAGACTTCCCCATCTACTTCGATATTTTGTTATTACTTTCTTAATACCTTGCCTCTCCCACAGAACTGGGACAGCTTACACATGACAACAAATAGAATATTGCTAAAATATATACTATCTTATCACTGAAGTGTAATTCAACAGTCAATAACATGACCAACAAATAAAAATGTTTCATTTAGTAAGAACCAGTTTAAAAATAAGAGCCATTGGAAGTGCTAGTTTTTCAGAAAGGTGTTCTTTTTGTGTAGAGTTTTCTTGAATTATTTCAGCCAAGACCCTTAGCAAAGGGAAAATAATCCCTTGAACAGCTTAAGCCATTTGAAAGTGCAACAAAAGCGGGATAAAATGCATTGTTTAGAAAAAAGGAGTACAGTTGAGTCTCGCTTATCCAACATAAATTGGCTGGCAGAACATTGGATAAGCGAAAATGTTGAATAATAAGGAGGGAATGAGGAAAAACCTATTAAACATCAAATTCATTAAGATTTTACAAATTAAGCACCAAAACATCATGTTTTACAACAAATCCACAGAGAAAGCAGTTCAATACACGGTATCTTTATGTAGTAATTACTCTATTTATGAATTTAGCACCAAAACATCGCAATGTATTGAAACAGTGTGGATCCTGGCAGGAGGCAGACTATGTTGGAAAATACTGAATGTTGGATGAGCGAAGGTTGGATAAGCCAGTACATAGGTATGAGCTTGCCATTCACAACAAGAAGCTCTGACTGACCAAAATTTCTGCTCTGCAGAGTTGCTACGTACTCGTCAAGTATAAGTGTGTGGGCAGCCTCTCAGTACATCCTTGCTTCACCTAAATGTCCCAGTCACTCTTTAGCCCCAAAACATTTCATTATGTTGCACCCAACTCTCACTGTAATAACTCACCCGAGTGCCCATCTTCTCAGTGAATGAGCATCTCTGTGCCAGCCACTGTAGCTACTGTTGGGAGATAACAAAAGTAAGGATTAATCTATATTGAAAGAGACAACCTCTGAGATCTGAAGCACAAATGCGGTCTACTTTCCCTACACTAGACTCACAACATGGTGTATTTTCTTTATGAAAGATCATGGCGTTTGGGTGGACGCTTGATTTCTCCTCTCGTTCCTTTTGCCATTTTCTAGCTGTTTCTTACATAGGAGCAATTCTGAGACATTTTTTGTTTACCTGTTTCTCATGTAGAAGGAAATGTGAGGCATATTGTGTGCAAAGAAGCAACACATTGATAACCAAAGTAAAATAAGAGAGAGAGATCCATATGGTATGGAATACCTTATGGGTCATTCCTATCTGGCCTTAAGGTAATTGTCCAGGTTCAAATGTTTATTTCCTCCCAAAAATCTGAGAAGATTTTAATTGTACAAACCAGGCTAAGACTAGATGACGCTATGTAACAAAATTTGAAAAAAAAATGTTCCTGCTTTGAAAGTGTCATTCCTGTTTCATTGTGAAGGAATTACTTTGAAAGTAGTTGTTACATTCCAGAAACTTTGTTTTTGTGGCTGCCACAAACTATGTTGAAGTGGTTGAGGCTATGAGATATCCACTGAAAAACTATAGCAAAATGTGCTGTAGGATGTCCCACAAAAACAAAGTTTTTGCAGTTTAATAAACTTTCTCATTTTTTTTATTACAGAACCAATTAGGAAATGACATTTATAACCCAGGAACAAAAACTGTGTTACATAGTGTAATTGTCTAATTCATATGCCTGAAAGATGAAGTGTTTTACATTTAAATTGCCTTCAATACGCTTCGGGTCCAACCTATCTTCGAGACTGCACGTCCTTCTATGAACCGGTGCGGGCACTGAGATCTGATCAGGAGGTCCTTCTCTTGGTTCCACCAACATCTCAAATACGGTTGGTGGGGATGAGAAGGAGGGCCTTCTTGGTGGTGGCGCCATGGCTCTGGAATGCCCTCCCAAGAGAGATCAGGCCAGCTCCCTCGCTTCAAGCCTTTCGTTCCAGTTTTAAAACATGGTTTTTTAAACAAGCCTTTGATCTTACGTAGGTTTTTCAGGATTTGTCTGAGGACTTACTGTTAGCGTCACATTGGCACTGGACTGTGTCAATTGGAAAAACTTGTTTTTATCCACAAGTGACTGCATTTTATGAATTTTAATGTTTTACATTGTAATTGTGTATGTGCCTGATAGTAATTCTATGGCTTTATCGTTTTAGATTTATGTATTGTCTATATGCGGCACTTCACTGTATTTTGTTAGCCGCCCTGAGTCCCTTTGGGGAGATGGGGGCAGGGTAGAAATAAAATGTACTATTATTACTAATTTTTGAATATTGTATCTATGTCCCACCCAACCCCAATACTAACTTTAAAGAGTGTGCTTTGGTTACCACGAGTCCAAAATAGCAAACAAGATGTAGTCTTCATCACCAAAACATATAAGGACACAGCTAGTTCGTGGGCAATTCAACACTTCTTTTATCAACTCTTTAACAGAAAGCAGGGTGGTTTTTATTTTGTTTTGCTTTTTTTGTGGGCCATGAATGTAAAATCCTAGTAAATTCCATTACTCACTAGAATTGATAAGATGAAGCCGATTTCCGTGGGAAGAGTCTTATTTCAGGATAACCTTGAACATTTTCTTGATGACAAAGAGAGAAATGCTTCTGGCAGTCCACGCTGCCAACGGAGATCAGTCCATTCATCAACTGAAACAGAGGAATATTATCCAAAGTGAAATGCAAAAATAACTCCAATCCAAAGTCAAAGACATATTAAAACACCCCAAAACAGTAACAATCGGCTCTGCCTTCTTCTGAAGCTTGTCATCCTAATACAAAAGGTCAATGTTGGTTTAGACTTTCATATTGGAGGGCACACACTTTGATTCTGGTGAAATTAGCAGGGTGCTGCAGAGAGAATCAGCTTCCTTTGTAAAGATACAAAGAAAGAATTCTTTGCTATCAACGCCTGCTGACACCTATGACTGGAAAGTGAGATTCCTTTGTAGTCTTATTGCTATCAGGGCTATATTTCAACCCCAGGATCCTGTAGAGATAATGAATCTTTCTCTGTGTATGTCCTCTCTCTCTCTCTCTCATTTTGTATCTTGGCTATCTGTGCATCTGTGTGAGACGTATATAAAAACTGAGGTTTTAAAATAATAGAATCATAGAATCAAAGAGTTGGAAGAGACCTCATGGGCCATCCAGTCCAACCCCCTGCCAAAAAGCAGGAATATTGCATTCAAATCACCCCTACAGATAGCCATCTAGCCTCTGTTTAAAAGCTTCCAAAGAAGGAGCCTCCACCACACTCCAGGGCAGAGAGTTCCACTGCTGAACGGCTCTCACAGTCAGGAAGTTCTTCCTCATGTTCAGATGGAATCTTCTCATGAAATCCTCCCAAAGCTCTTAAGCAGTGTTTAAATTCAAACAAGTTTGGAAGTTTAATCTCTGGTGTATCCAAAATGTGATCTACAGGCTACTAGCAGTCCCAGGACCCCACTTCTATAGCAACCTGAAACCCCACATCAATCATCCCCACCTCCTGAATTTGATGGTGTGATTTCTATGCATTTATTTGCCTCCTAAGCACACAAACTTTCTCAAATGAATAAGAACTCACAAAAAATACTCCCACCACACCTTCACAATACTACCCATAGATATTCCTGTTTTTCTCTCCAGTCAGCTCTTAAAACGGAAAGTGATATAACAGCGTTTTGAGAAGGATTGCATGGGAAATTGGAAATCTTTGGGCTTCTTATGTGCGAAGGGAGGGTTGACTTCAAGCAGCTCTTAATCCAGTTTTGCTTTCCCATGTGGCTTTTTTAAAATTTGAGAGAAAGCAATTCAGTGAGATTTCATTGATGCAGCTCCCTCCAAAAGTAATGCAAGTAACAATAAACTTTAGTGCCTGAAAAAACTAACGAACAACAACAACAACAAAACAAAAAAAGGTGTTGGGCACTGCTTCTTAAACTATGTGTCTTGACCCCAAATGGGGTCTCCTTGGTTTAATGTTTTTTGAATGCCACTTAGCACCTGTTTTAGACATTTACATGAATTTATTGTGCAGTGTTTTGCTTTAAGCCTGGCATTTATTTTGACCCAAGGAAGCAGAGAAAATCCAGAAACTGCACTCAATTAAAATGGAAAATGATATGGAGTGAATGCAGTGTTTACAGCTAGACTTCATAAAACTGAAACTCAGCCTGTTTAGCAAATTTTGCAGGTGCTGACTTGTCATCCGTTTTTTTTAAATACCTATCTTATATACCTATAGACCCAGGGTCACATCATAATTTATCAGGACAAAAGGAGTCCCAAGTGGAAAATTTCAAGAAGCCCTGCTTTTGGGGGCTTCTCCACTGTTTTTCCATTCCTGAAAGCAAAGTGACAATGCTTTTTGAATGTATACAAAGATAGCCTGTTCTCTACATGCCCAAAGTAGCTTATTCCTATTCACAACTGCAACACAAATAGTAATATATTTCATCATGTAATCTTCCTTTGTGAGGCTAAACTGTTCTTACAGACAGGTTGAACATCTTTATGTAAATAAATAAAATGGAAACAGCTTCTCTATTAAAGCCCCTTCAATACTGCTCCTTATAGCTTTTCCAGGGGATTAAGTAATGTAGAGTTGTTTTGTAAGACTGGTGAATAGATGTACAAATGTAGTTAGTTAGGAGACAGAGATATTCCCCTTCCTGCATTTTCAGCATAGAATTGTAGAAATCTGCAAAAATCTGCAGAGAAACTTGACTGGATGGCTATAACATTGCTGTGGCACCACCAAAAATGCTGTGGAAATGAAGGTATATGTTCTATACATCCACACATTCTGTGTTTGTAATCCCAATAAGGTATGTTAGTAGCATGGTTTTACCCTGGCCATCCGCTTCCATTCTGGCATTAAGGCTTGGCAAGGACCGCACCACGGAGCGTAGAAATCAACCACCCAGATTTCATTAGACTTCCTTTTCTTCACCAGCTCATTGAAGGTCTCAGGGGTCAAAGACACCACAGAGGGGTTCATCAGATCCTAAAGCACAGAATGGAGAACATTTAAAGCACTTGGCTTTCACATTTACAAAGGCTCTGTGACAAATTTAAATACAGTGCTTTAGGTTGTGTGAAGGGTTGAATCCAAAACAAGGGATGGGTTGCGGGGATAAATTCAGGTGTTGCCTAGACTACCAAAATACCAGCAAAACAAAGCATATTTGTTAGGCTTTGGGGCCCCTTAGGCTATTTTGGGCCCCAAAGAGGTCTTCCTTAAAAGAAAAAAAGGAAGTGAAGAGGAAATGATGTCACAAACTCTTCTGTTTGCAAGATTAAAAAGTTGCCTTGAGTTTCAAACAGGGAATACAGTTTACAACATTATACAGCATATTTTTAAGCTATTCCAAGTTCCCTTGGGTTTTAAACAGGGAATGCAGCAGGAAACAACAACAACAGCAACAAAATACAGTTACCTCAATAAACTCCAAGATCTGCTCAGCAGAGTGGTGTCCCTCATATTCATGAGTATTGGATTGATTAAAAACCACAGTTGTTGGATAAGCTCGAATGTTGTGCTACGGAATATCAAAATGAAAAACATATTCAGAAATATCAAATACTCCTTTCAAGTTTCAGCAGATTTATTGGAATTTAATTGTGGCACTATGAAAAGAAGAAACCTCCAAACTAATAAAACTATTTTCTCAATGCCTGAGAAAAGCAAGATAACTACAAAAAAGGTTTAACAAGCATTTGAGTGCAATGTCGTGAAGGTTGTATGTCCCCAAATTAAGTGCAGTCCTAGATCAGATATGGGCAATTCTTTTTGCCTTGGGGCCATATTGCGGGTCTGGCCAGGAGGGGGCACACACTGGTGTGGGGAGGGCCCAGGATGGGGCAGGGCAAGGCCTGAGTCATCCTCAGGTTGTCCTCCCAGCATAAGGACAGGGTTGCTCACCTCATCCTTATACCTAGAGGAAGGCAGGGCATGCAGCGACTGCCCTGATGCTCCTCTCCCAATCCTCAGGCTGTCCTCTTGGCATCACGCTGGGAGGAGGGTGAGACAGGTGGCAGCTGAGAGTGCTCTGGAGGGCTCTCAGTCCCCACATGACTTCCTTGAGCCATCCTCCTGGCATAAGGATGGGGCTGCTCGCATTGTCCTTATGCCGAGAAGGGGATGAGACACATGGTGGCACAGGCATGCACATAATGGAGGCAGACAGTATGTGAGGGAGGCAGGCCATTTGGGAAGCCACTTCCTTTCATCAGACCGAGGCTGACAAAACTGCCAGCCTTGCACATTTCCCAACAGACCTCATTCACAAGGCCTTGAAAACTGAGGGAAGGCTTTGAAGACCTCATGAGTGAGGCCAGCTGGGAATCATATGGGACTGGGCCGGGGGGTGGGGAAAGATCCAAGGTCCACCAAAGAGACAACATCCAAGGCTAAGGATCATGGCAGAGGGTTGGACTAGATGGCCCATGTGGCCTCTTCCAACTCTATTATTCTATGATTCTAGGGAGTGAAATCTCCACCCAGTTTCATGAGCGATTTCTGTTACCGTAGGCAGAAGCAAGATCCCTGTTGCAAACTCTCTTCACACCAAAGATTACTTATACAAGGATATCAGTCAACTGCTTCCCAACTGAAAAGGGGAACAGATCCCTAGTGACTGCAGCAGCCGCTACCCAATAACTATGGGCTGGAATACTTCCACGGTCCTTACATGAGTACATAGGAATTGTGAATACAAATCAGTTACCAATGTGTAATTCTAGGTTTAGTAAATTATAGCCATCATTTTTTTTAAAGTAGGTCAAATTAGAATAGATATTTGTATGATGAAAACATAGCTATACTTGCAGTTTACCATGTTGCAAATTCCTTCATGAAGTGTACAATCTAAAGTGCCAAATTTCAGTTGACCGTACAACTGCTTTGATGCTTTTCTCAGCTCTGGCAATAAGGCTCGACAAGGAGGGCACCACTAAGAAAGAAAAGACAGGGACATACAAACATAAGAGAGTAACATCAAATTCCCAGTTCTTGGCTGCCTGCACCATGAGTTATAGTTTTTAATCTCTTAGACCACAAATGTCAAACTTAAGGCCCATGGGCCGAATCCAATCCACTATGACATTTTATGTGGCTCTTGAGATGCTGGACTACAACTTCTGTATTCCTCATCTTTAGACAACATGACTAGAGCCCATGGGAGTTGTGATACAGAAACACCCAGAAGGCTGCAGTTTGTTCTGTTCAGTCAGGATGCTGGGGTTTAAATTTAGATGCAAGGCTTGTGGATACGATGTCTGACTTTAAAATGGCCATTAACCCTACATCAGAGCTACAAGTGCTGTTTGGCTCAATTCTCATTATCCCCAGTCTCCAGGGTGGATAATCAAAAGTGATGGGTGTTGGTGTTCAATAATAAATTGGGCAAAAAGTAAAGAGCACCAACCACTATGTAAAAAATATAGTTGGTCCTCTGTATCCATGGATTTGCCATCCATGGATTCAACGGTCCTTTGAAAGCGGACAGAAAGCTGATGTGGCCCTCAATGAAAATGTGTTTGATACCACCGTGTCAGACCATTTTTTCTAGTCAGGAGAAATATTACATTCCATTGCTCTCTGCTCCTAAAAAGCTACTGAGATACATTCAGTATCTCGGTCTTTTGTCTCCCCATCTCATCTTTCCAGCCCAATACAATAAGCTGTAAATATTCTAATTACTGGAATTCCGGGAAATGAGAAAATGTGCCCTTTAATGGAAGAGCATCAAATGGGTTATTGGATTGGCTTATGTTCCTCAGTACACCTTCCCGAAAAGACAAACCAATGTTCAATAGTGAATATATATATATAAAAACCATAGATTCAAAAAGTTACTTTCTTGGAGAACAATTCCTAAAATCTCACCAAAAGAGAATTTTCTGGGGAAAGCTACATATCACCATATTCCTACATTACTATTTTAGAATTTCTGAAAATTCATTGTTATATTAAAGAATTAACTTTTTGCTTGCATGCAGTTATATATTTATGTCTGAAAATAAGAAATTTCTGATAGTTACAGGTGCGAAGAAGTCAACAAGCCACGGCTCCTTCTCCTTGCCAGGAAAATTTTGAGGACCAAGAGTGATGACATGAGAATTCACACTTTCCTTAGCAAAGGCCACAATGTCATATAGAATCTTCTTTCCTTCAGACAGAAAACAAATGAATAAAATAAGTAAAGTTTGTCCCCTGGTGGGGCAGCAGGTTAAACCAAACTTGCTGACCAAAAGGTTGGCAGTTCGAATCCTTTTGAAATTGTCCATATGCATGTGGATTTCAATAGCTTCTCTGTGTAGTTCTAAGCTTTCTATGCAAAAGTTGCTTACCATGATGGATTTCATAGTCTTCCAATCCTCTCCCTTTAAATACCACTACACGAGGTTCATAAACATATAGATCGTTGCAGGTCTTTGGTGCAGTAAGGCAGTCAAACCTACCAATCTGTGGAACGAACAGCCATTTGATAATTACCATCCTTAGAGAACGAGACATTACAAATATGAGGTGGATATGGGAATCCCATTCCGTAACATGGGAACAGTTTCTTTAGGGGATAATACTGCAGTGTCTTAGGCTGGATCCACACTGGCCTATATCCCAGGATCTGATACCTGATTATCTGCTTTGAACTGAACAGTAAACTATCAACATTCATCTGCTTTGAACTGAACAGTAAACTATCAACATTCATGGGAGAGTAAATGAGAACTAGTAATAGTTTTATGATACAGATGAATATTTCTCAAAGTGGTTTATCAAGCAAGCTCTTAGTAAATCTAACACATTCATGTTCTTTGATCCAATCCAAACTGGAAAAGGGATACAAATTGCCCTCCCAGGAACAATATTTATTTATTTATTTAATTATTATATTTGTATACTGCCTTTCTCAGCCTGTAGGTGACCCAAGGCGGTTAACAGGGCAAAATTCAATGCTTACAATGTCATAAATACAATTAAAAACATAATATATAATACAAACTAAACAAACCAATAAAATATAAATTCATAGTGTCTCCTTGTTAAAAACATTGTTGGGACTCATTGTCTAGTCGTTCCATTTTCCTGTGTCAATTACTCTACATTTGCAAATGATTGTTCAAAAAGCTACGTCTTGACTTTTTTTCCGGAATGTTCAAAGGGAGGTGGCCGATCTAATCTCTATAGGGAGGGCGTTCCACAGTCGAGGGGCCACCACCGAGAAGGCCCTGTCTCTCGTCTCCCCCAAACATACTTGTGACAAAGGCGATAACGAGAGCAGGGCCTCCCCAGATGATCTTAAGGTCCTAGATAGCACGAACAAGCTTCAAGTTTCGAAATGAAGGTGCCTCAGATGGAAATAGCATTGATCCATTTAATCCAGTGTTTCTCAACCTGTGGGTCCTCAGATTTTTTGGCCTTCAACTCCCAGAAATCCTAAGAGCTGGTAAACTGACTTGAATTTCTGGGAGTTGTAGGCCAACCTGGAAACCCACAAGTTGAGAACCTCTGATAACCTAACATTGACTATCTTGATCAGCAGCCACATTTCTGCATCGGAAATTGTTTTATTTTTGAGTTAGTTGGGATTGAATGTGGTATCTTCTGGATTCATACTATGTGCCCTGTCAATAAGTTATGCCCTTTTCTTGTAGCTACTGTTATCAACATGAGAGAAGATATCTGAGTCAAGACATCTCCAGCATTCCCTGTTCAAAGAGGCGGAGGCAAGTGTGGAGATACAGATTCAGCCGAGCAGCTGAGAAGAAGAAGGAAGGAAGTTACACCCAATCCCCAGAGTCATGCATCTTGAGAAGCTCTCTTATTCTTACCTGAATATTTTCTCCTTTAAGCAGAAAACCCAGCTTTTTAAGATCATAGGCTTCGGACTTGCTAGTTTGGCCAAACTGAAAAAATATTAGCCATCGATGATGAGCCACATGATCCTTATGAAGGAAAGTGAGGGGGAAAGAACACAAGACATGTTTTTTCTTAATTAATGGTCCACACAAAGGAAGTCACAACTACTAATGAAAACCCACACCACTAAAGAAACCATCCAGAGAACAATCTCATATGACGGTAAGCTATCATGGACAATCCCATATACACTAAAAAAGTCAATAGAGAAAACGGGTCAAGCAAACTTGGCTCCTTCCAAAACGTTTCTTCAGAACCCATCTTTACCTTTAAAGTAGATGCTGAGATCATTTTGAAGTCTGGAAGGTGTTTCATGACTTCCAAATATATCTCCCTGGCATCTAAAGAGGTCAGGAACTGCAGAAGAAGAAATGAATTGGGATTCTATTGAATAATATATTCAGAACATAGAACATTTTGTTTTGAGATTATAGTTCTCACGATCATTGAGCCAGAACGGGGATAGCTCTTTATATATACGTTCCTCTGAATAGCCACTAATGCATTTCAAGAAGTCACTGTGCTACCTGGAATGGATTCAGAGGAGGGAGGGCAAGAACAAGGAGGAAGATTATTTCCTGTCTGGCCCATACATTCTATTTCTGTCCTTCTGACAGAAATCCTGCAAAGTGTTCCAGGTAGTGCCAGACATGACCCTGGGTAGGAGGGCAGCACACAATGACAGATCTCTTCTTCTTTGTATGCCTCTCCTTCTTACTTAAATCTGATCCAGCTGCTTCAAGAATGACAATAAAGCAAGGACAGGTTGGAGGATTTACTTGGGGGTTAGTGTGAGATGTTAGCTGTTGACATCTGATACAACCAGTAAATCTTTTCCCAATTCCCTTTATGATTTTAATGTGTTTTGATCTTTGCTCTATGTATTTTGATAGTCTTATGTTTTTTATCTGGAGACGTTAAGGATATATAATTTTATTGACTTTTTATGAAACTATATTTTATATGCTACGTTTTTAATTGTATTTTATATGTTGGGGGGCATCAAATTGTGTCAACTGTAAAACCGCCTTGAGTTGCCTTCAGGCTGAGAAAGGCGGTATATAAATACTGTAAATAAATAAATAAATAAATAAATAAATAATTTATCTATATAAAGCAGGGGTCCTCAAACTTTTTATATAGACGGCCAGGTCACAGTCCTTCAAACTGTTGGAGGGTTGGATTATAATTTGAAAAAAGTGTGAAGGAATTCCTATGCACACTGCACATATCTTATTTGTAGTGCAAGAACACTTTAAAACAATACAATAATTAAAATGAAGAACAATGTTAACAAATATCAACTTATTAGTATTTCAATGGGAAGTGTGGACCTGTTTTTGGCTGCTGAGATATTGTTTTGGCTTTTGAGATGTTCTTGTTCTTGTTGTATGCTTTTAAGTCATTTCAGACTTAGGTTGACCCTAGGCGAAGGCCGGGTAAATGACCCTGGAGGGCCGTATTCAGCCCTCGGGCCTTAGTTTGAGGGCCCCTGATATAAAGTATGTTGTATCCTGTCTCAAGCCACAAGGAAAGACTGTAAACCTAGTTCTCAACCTTTTTATGACCATGGACCACTTTCCAACATTAGTACCGAAAGGGTTACAAATCAATTTTTGGTCAACTTTAGGGTTTGGTTCCTTGGGGGTGCTGATTCAGAAAATTGCATTGGACAGACCACATCAGCTCTAGTTTCTGATACAGTAGTTGCCATCTGCTCACCCACAGAAAACCATAGTTAATAATCTAGAGCTAATGTAGTCCATTCAAGGGGTCGGGACTGGCCAGCGACAGGGAAGGAATAGCAGGCAGGGAGAAAGGAGCGGAATAAATAAATAAATAAATAGGAAGGAGGCTCGCAGACAGAATTTTTGTCCTCTTTTTTGTGGTCTGCAACCCACAGATTAAGAACCACAGCTGTAAACAAATACAATGATGATGACAGCCAAAGAGCCTCTTTGCTAACTTAGAACATTTCTGTTCAATGTAGCATGGTAATGACACACTTGAAAACAAAAGGTGGAAGAAAACCTTTACTCGATTTTGAAACCCAGCTTCCTCAGTTAAAAGTATCACATGATCTTTTCTCATATTTTTGTCAATACAACTGCTTTGTCCTTTGTAATGGTAAACCCCACTATGGCCCCTTCTACATTGCCATATAAAGCCCAGATTATCCACTTTGAACTGGATTATTTGTCAGTGTAGACTCATATAATCCAGTTTAAAGCAGATAATGTGGACTATCTGCTTTGATAATCTAAATTATATGGCATTGTAGAAGGGGCTAAATCTCCATAATCTTTTAAAGATAGCTATCAAAATCTCAACACTCTCCAAAAACAAAGCATTAAGTCATCTGCAAAGTAGTCCTCCGCTTAAACCTATGCCCTTTGACAACATCCAATCCCTTAATTCTTTTTTCTTTTCCAACAGTTCTGCTATGAACTTTCAAAACAAATTCAAAAAGTAAAGGAGATAAGCCACACTCCTGTCTAACTCCTCTTTGAATATCACAAAACATAGTTGTTTCCTCACTGATCAAAATCTGAGATTTTTGGACATCTTATATTGTTTGATCAACAAAGAAAAATTCTTGAGTCTCCACCCATATGACGTGTGCTGAAAATGCAAATCCTCTAGAGCTATGTTCTGTATTTGTAATGGCCAGTCTCCTTGGAAACTAAGTTCATTACTGCGTGGTTGAATTTATTCCAATTTTCTCCCCAGTCCTTACATACTTTGTTTTCTCTGTTTATTAACCACAAAGCAGCAAGCCAGCAATTTATCTCTTAATAATATCTGGCATAGATAAATATCATGTTTATAAGCACAATAAATAAAACCCAGGAAAGGAAGAGAAGCATCAGCTACAAACTCGGAACAGGTAAGCACCTAGTGTGGGATGGCGAAAGGTTAGCTTATATGTAGCTCCAAGAGATCTATTTTGTGGCCACAGGGAACCCGGAGGCTCCCAGAAACCCAATGACAAAACCAAGAAATCTCATTTAAAATCCCCAGCACAGAAGAAGGGCATTTTTTAAAAACCTCACAACCTCTGAGGATGCTTGCCACAGATGCAGGTGAAACATCTGGAGAGAATGCTTCTAGAACGTGGCCATACAACCCGAAAAACCTAAAACAACCCAGTGATTCCAGCCATGAAAGCCTTCGGCAACAACTTGAGAAACTACAAGGATGTTGCTCAGGGGACGCCCAGATGTTTTACCATCCTGTGGGAGGCTTCTGTCATGTCCTCACATGGGAAGCTAGAGCTGAGATGGGAACTCACCCCGCTCCCTGGATTCAAACCACCAACCTGTCGGTCAGGAGTCCTGCTGGCACAAGGGCTTAACCCATTGTACTACCAGGGGCTCCAATATAGAGAGATGTTCTCTTATGTTTTTTAAAAAAGCAGTTTTAATTCATAGTTTTTTCACTTTTGCGCCCATAACCCCAGTGAATGAGGACTGACTGCAAATCAAAGAACATCTATTAAAAAGATTTATAAATACTCTTTCTTCTTTTTCTTCTATCATCACCTCCACCAGCAGGCATGTATGTATATGAAAACCAGTGCATACCAAAATGCCTCCTTTTTCTTTATTAGTTAAGGTGGCTCCCGGTGGGAAGTATGCTGTCGTGCTAGAAGAGATATCCAAACTTTCACAAAGCTCACCCCGGGTGGCACAGTCCATCCAGCCTACATTAACCAGGCCTTCCTGTATGAAACAACCAACAGGGAAAAGAAAGTGAAATGAGGAAATGAAACTGAGACAGTACAGCCTTCGCAAAAGCTAGCTATACTTTCCCCTCTCTCTTTCTGTGTATCTTTCTCTCTCACAAACATTCAGGTTGAGATTTGCATGAGAATACAGACATACTATACCATTTATTATACAGCTTACATGCCTCAGAAAATATGCTTAAATAATACACATATTTCAAAATGAATTCCATCCAAGTTTTGGAAGACGAGTTGAGCATGAGTTTAGTTCTTTACTTCTACAGCCAGAGAGAGATTTTATAGGACTTAACACTGACCAAATAAAGTCCACCCTTGGAACATTAATCAATTGTAATAAAGCTTACCAACATGCCAGCCAATTTAAGACGTGTTCGAGAAGTCAAACAATCTACAAGAAAGATAATATGACATTATTGAGAAACCAGATTTATCATCACATTCACATTAATTCACAAGTGTGTACAGTATGTTAGGGAAAACTACCCTAAATTATAGCAGAGCATACAGAAATCAAACAGGATACAAAAGTTGTACATCAGCTCATTAGCAAGCAGAGTGTGAAGTGATGTTAATTGTGGCTGCAAAGAATTAAGAGCTTAGGCAGGAAAAGATGCAGAGTCCAAACTTTAAAAAATCACAAAAGATTTATTTACAATAATAAAGAACTAATTACATTGGGTTGTTGTAGGTTTTTTCAGGCTATATGGCCATGTTCTAGAGGCATTCTCTCCTGACGTTTCGCCTGCATCTATGGCAAGCATCCTCAGAGGTTGTGAGGAGGCCATATAGCCCGAAAAAACCTACAACAACCCAGTGATTCCGGCCATGACAGCCTTCAACAATACAACTAATTACATTTCTTCACGGTGAAGAACTGGGTCTGAGCTATTCTAATACCCATCTTTTATAAGGTTTCAAAGAGAGGAAAAAAACACCAATCACTACATCTCTCTCACACACATGCAGAGAGAGATCTCAAAGCACAAAGCACATACTCAGATGTAAGAAGCTAAAGTCAAAGTAAAGGCTTGCAGTATAAAACTATCCATTCTACACAAGCTATCAGAATGAGAGCAGAAACAGAGAAGAGAGAAGAAATTCCCAACTGTCAGATAGGCAACATGGGGGAAGCGAAACCCTTAGCCTATTCTAAGCTAACTAAACTGTTCCTCATTGAGGACTTGAGACTTGGGCATTATGGGATTGAATTCCAACACAGTATAACCTCCATATTTATGGGGGACATGTTTCCGGACTTCGCGTGGATATATTAAACTCTGGTTAATAGTGAACTCTATTGAAATGAAGGACTTTTTGCCAAAGAAAACTACAGCATCACTCTGGAGAATCTAGAAAACTTCTAAAGAGGACATATTTAGTTGGACTGTGGATAGCTGAAAGTGTGGCTAAACTAGGGATTGTACTGTATGCAAAAACATAGAAAGATGTCTGATAAAAAATGAACTCCACCATTAATGTATCACACAATGATTAATATAAAAGTCTAGAAACAGAATATTTGCATATCTTGAAATGGGGAACGGGGAATTTGCCAAAGGGGAAAAAGACAAGGGGATTCTTTTTCTGCAGCATCTTTCTATTGAAACCTAAAAACTGCATGAGTACATAAATGCTTTCTCTTTGGATTCAGGGCCAGTTTAAATTGGGCAACATAGCGCTCCCTCTTTCATTTGGAAAACAAATCTAAACTGGCAACTGAACTTTCCTTTTAGACAAGGAATAGTATGGGATCTTCCATGACATCTGAGGGCCACGGGATAGCTGCCCTAAGTCTCTTATCAATCCTACCCACATGCATTTGCCACCTGAGGCAGCTGCTTCACTCTTCCTAAGAGCAAACCTGGCACTATCAGAAAAGGGGATGGGGCAATTTCCACTAGTATCCAGAAAAATCCCTCTGTTTCTGAGAGAAACTGCCATTAATGGTGCAAACAACTGTGGTGACTTTTCAGTATCTCATCAGAACAGTACTACAAGTTTAACAATTATTTTAGTCAATGTAAACAGTTCTTTTAAGAAATCACTCTTACAGAAAGATTTTCATACAATGACTAAACAACACTAATGGCCTCCTCACATCAAGTAACTTGTTTGGCATTTGATGTATTAAGAAAATTGGAACACGTCTTAGCTTTTACACATTTCTAACACTATTCCTGTTTGTCTTCCGCTGTCAATTTATCTATTTCAATGCCTCCGTAGTTATTAAAATTCCATTGTAAATGTTAATAGCTGGAAACTATATTTACCTCCTTGTTCTGCACAGAAGGTAATTAACCAGCCAACTCCAGAAGCAAATGCAGCCTCAACAGCATTAACAAAATTTCCTAAAATAGAAAAAAACACGATTTAATGAGTGACAACTAAATTGATTTATTCAGAAACATTATGTAGTACAAACTTTTTGATGTACATCTTTCGACAGCACTTTTATCTTTTCTACATTTCTATTACCATAAAGCCTGTTTTGATATATATATCTCCCATTATTTTATTGTAGAGTTTGTAATTCCTGCAACCTGAAGAATAATATTAAACGTACCTGCCCAGAACTCTGTCACTGTGCTTTCGACAAACTGCATGGCAAAGCTCATTAAGCTCTCTTTTGACCTATCGCCATAATATTTCACTGGATTCTACAAAGAAAAAGATTTTCAATTAAAGACATAGTCTTGGATTACATGTATTAGTCAATATGCAGAAAGGCAATTCTTAAAAGTGAATTTAGAAATCTAGGAATAAAACCCTGAGCCCTAAGTACATCTAGTCCTCCATATCCATGGATTCAATTAATTACAGCTCTAAAATATTTGGGGAAAAAAATCCCCAAAAACAAACTCTGATCTTGCCACACTGATGTGCAGGCATAGTATGTTCTAGCCTTCTTTCACAAATCCTCAGATTCTCCCTACCACTCATTTGAATTGTTTGTCGTTTTATATAAGTGACTTCAGAATCCATGGATTTTGGTATCCACAAAGAGTTCAGTAACTAAAAGCACTGTATCTCATCTTTAGAACATATTAATTACCTACGCAACACTCTTCCCCAACAGAAATATAGCAGGAATGAAAAAAGATCCAAAAACCAAGTGATTCCCACCAAGGAACAGCCGTCCTTATGTTATTACAGTAGAGTCTCGCTTATCCAACCTCCGCTCACCCAACGTTCTGTATTATCCAACACAGTCTGCCTCCCTCCCGGATACACAGATGTTTCAATACACTGTGATGTTTTGGTGCGAAATTCGTAAATATAGGAATTACTACATGACACAACTGTGTATTGAACTACTTTTTCTATCTATTTGTTGCAAAACATTATGTTTTCATGCTTAATTTGTAAAATTATAACATAATTTGACATTTAACAGGCTTTCCCTTAATCCCTCCTTATTATACAACATTTTTACTTATTCAACGTTCTGCCAGCTTGGTTATGTTGGATAAACGAGACTCTACTATGTTTCGCTTGAGCAGGTACATCCATGCCATATGGGACCTGGCCATATCCATCCTTGTCCTCTCCATGAATTCCCATAGATGTCTCCATGTGATTAGAAAACTTGATAACCAGGTTCCAATGGCATGAAGGTTTCTACTCTAAATGCTGTCGGTGATTTCTGTTTATTAGGAGAAGATTGAGAAGGAATTAATACCCACAAAGGAATATGGAATCTTGCAAATCTGGCAAAGCTTGGTAACTGGGCTTATGGACAACAACTCCAAGAATGCCCAACTAGTGTGGCTATACTGGCGGGGGGGGGGTTCTAGAAAGCATAATTTCCCTCAAAAAATGAAGGCAATTTTCCAAGTGTGCATTTCTTTCTGCCCTTTCAGCACCAGATTCTTATTGCTAATGTTTATCTCGGTGACAACATTTTTGCTACTGTTGCTATGTGTCTCTTGCCTCCTGGAGGCTATCTGTAATGTTCCAAATAAATACCAGAAGACTCCCCTTCTGTAAGACTTGGTATTGTCATTCCTTAGACAGCTCCCCTGGGACCCCAGGTAGCTATAGGATTAGGAAGGGCAATGGCTTACTTACCATTCCGGTTTTAAAGACATACAGGCTTGGGTAGCTATTAATTCCTTTCATGCGGCAGAGCATTCTGTTATCACCACAGTTGACAGCTCCAATACGTATTAAACCGTCCATTTCTTTAGCAAATTCTCTCCACTGAAGATTGAAAAAGAAACCAGTTTTTTTTCTACGCAAAAATGTGGCCCCTGCTATATACAGAATTTCTAAATATTTTGTTCCTTTTGAAATGCAATGCAACTTCATATTCACAGCTTGGTGGAAGGAAAATACTGGCTCACCTAGCACTCTTACCACCACAATGTGAACCAACGATCTATCCCCATATGGTCTCAAGAGAGAGCAGAAATATCTGGTCCAATTTCATTCATAATTTGATTGTAATGACCAATAACATTATGTAACACGATTTCAGTTCCTGGGTAAGTAAGTAAGTAAAGTTTATTACGGTCAATGACCAGATCTCAACATTGGGACCCAGTCCCGTACATTCACATCAAACCCAAAGGGTTATACACTTCAAACTCCAACAAATTTTAACATCTAAGCTAAAAACCAATACAAGAAGTTATTAAAACCTAACTCAACCCACAAAACACAGTTCCTGAGTAATAAATCATAGAATAATAAAGTTGGAAGAAATCATATGGGCTATCTAGTCCAACCTCCTGCCATGCAAGAAAGGCACAATCAAAGTACCCTTGACAGATAGCCATCCAGCTTCTGTTTTAAAACTTCTGAGGAAGCTATTTAAAAGCTTCCAAATGTCACTATGTAACACGATTTCCGTTCCTGGGTTATATATGTCATTTCCTAATTGGTTCTATCATTAAAATATGGAAAAATTTATTAAACTGTTTTTATGGGACATCCTGCAGCACATTTTGCCATAATTTTTCACTGAATATCTCATAGAGACTCAACCAATTTAGCACAGTTTGCAGCAGCCACAAAAATAAAGTTTCTGGAATATAAGAATTTCTTTCGAAGTAAATACCGCACAATTAAACAGGAAACAACACTTTCAAACCAGGAACAGAAATTCAATTTTTGTTACATAGTGTAATCAGAGGGCCATACACTGCTAAATATAACTATGGGCCATTCCAGATAGGTCCCATGTCCCAGGATTCCTGCTTTAAACAGGATTATATGAGTTCACACTGCCAGATAATCTGGAATAAACAGCAAACTTGCCATCAGATCCTGGGATATAGAGCCTGTCTGGAAGGGCCAATCTTTACTTTGAAAAAATCTATTGGACTTTGGTGACTGCACTGGGGATCGAATTAAAGCCTCTCAGGCAGTGTTGTGTGAAGTTGAGGTTGCCTCCAAACAACTCCTCACTTCCACCCTGCATCTCCAAGCCTGTTTAATTTTTTTCCAAAACACCTACAGTTGTACACCCCACAATAGGCAAATAAAATATGGTGTACCCCCAGAAACCCTGCTACAGGTTGGACACGAGGTTGGACTATTGCAACGCCTTATATGCCGGCCTTCCGAAGTCAACAACCCAGAAGATTCGGATGGTCCAACATGCAGCGGCCAGGCTGCTAGCAGGATCATCTATAAGATCCCATATCACACCGATTCTGCAACAACTGCATTGGCTACCAATAGAACATCGGATCTCTTACAAGATACTGATCCTGACATTTAGAGCTCAAAATGGCCAAGGACCTTTATATCTTAGGGACCGCCTCATTCCTTTTCTCCATCTGTGATCACCTCGATCCACCCAGGAAAATCTATACATACCGGGCCCTAGGGAGGTACACCTGGAAGCTATAAGGCGTAGAGCTTTTTCGACCTATGCTCCAATTCTGTGGAACTCTTTGCCTCCATACATTAGAGCAATGTCGGAGTTGCGACCTTTTGTAAAGGCACTCAAGACTTGGCTGTTTGGTTGTGCATTTAAGTAATCAGATCTAATTTGCCAAATAGTCACTGTTGTATGTTTTTATGTTGAATGTTTTTATATTGTGTAAATGCTATTTTAGATTGTAAGTCGCTCGGAGCACCTTGGTGAAGAGCGACTAATTAAGAAATAAAGTGAAGTGAAGTGCAAGTGAAGCATGCCATTAGGGTATGATGCAGCTCTCTCATCCCATCCCACCTTCACCTTTTCCCTTCACTGAGTCTCCATGTGCCCCTTCCACTGCCAAAGAAAACTGAAGTATACATTGCATGGGGGGAAAACAGAAACTAACTTATACTTACAGTTGGTGCCAGGTCATGGCAATGCGAGCATCGAGGGGAATAAAAATTGATAAACCACAGTTCTCCAGAAGTAACAGCAGCATCTATTTTAAAGAGAAGGAAAACAAGTCTGTGGTTATTTTAACTGTTCACCAATATCAAATCATATAGAACTGGAGGAGATGAGAATGGGCTAGGTCGCTAGTAAAGGCCCAACTTAGTCCTTCCATTCAGTCAACTCTTGAAGTTATCTGTGCTCTCAGAAAGAAGGTAAATGTGTGAGAGAATACATTTTCAATGGATAAACTGTCCCATCTTAAAAGCCCAAAGCTGAATTATTTAATCTTTGGTTTCCAAAATTGATTCAAATTTATTTTGTGGTAGAGTGGTAAAGGGTTCTCCTTGACATTACATTTTGGGGACGGACAGGTACCCTGGAGGGAGGTCCTCAAGTAAGGTTTTGAGGTCTATAGGTTGTGCACCCATTACCATTTGATATAGGAAGAGCAATAAGAGATTGGTTTAGCACGGACTCCAAAATAAATTGATGAGCGGAAGGAATTTTGGTTCCTTGAAGCTTTAATTGCGTAGATTCAGAGACTTCCGCTATTGAAAGAATGGCTACCATTTTGGTTTCTAGTTGCCCAGCAACAGAGAACAGTTCTGCATCCCAGCGCCTACACACTCCCTTGACAGTTTAGCCATTGCTTTGAATACACACATATACGGATGAAAACAATTTCAGTTATCTACTATATTCAGGTATTTTTGTAGGAGGTAAGAGGAGAGACCAACAGAGAGAATCAAGGAGGATTTATAGCTCAACTGATACACATTTCAGAAAAAATGGAAATAGTCAATGTGTTGTCAATGATAAAGTGCTGGACTTGGACTTCAGCAACTTGAGTTCAAATCTCCTTTCAGACGTGAAGCCCTTTGGATCTTTTTGGGCATTCTTCTCTTTTTTTGTAAAACCCAGGTAAAATTACCATTTTTTCTTTTTTAAAAAAACTAACCTGCATTCAAAGAGCTGCAAGTAAGTGGTAATGGTTTTTCCTTGACATTACATTTTGTCATGTCCAACTCTGGGGGTTGGTGCTCGTCTCAATTTCTAAACCGAGGAGCCAACATTGTCTGTAGACTCCTCCAAGCTCATGTGGCTGGCATGACTACATGGAGCGCCGTTACCTTCCCGCAGAAGTGGTACCTATTGCTTTACTCACATTTACAAGTTTTCAAACTGCTAGGTTTCGAACTGCTAGGTTGGCAGAAGCTGGGGCTAACATCAGGAGCTCACCCCAATCCTTGGATTCAATCCACCAGTCTTTCGGTTAGCAAGTTCAGCTCAGCGGTTCAACCCGCTGCACCACCAGGGCTCCCAAAGAGCCATAGCAATGCTAAGAATCAAGAAGATACACCGCCTTATCAGCTTTGAGTAGTAATAAGTGTAGAAACAAAATGGAACCCAAAATCCTTTAGAAGGGAGTGGCAAACTTTCTCTATCCCAGGACAGAGGAAGTTATATACAGTAGTTGTAAATACTTCACAAAGTTAAGGTTGTTTCAATTAGAGCATTATTATTTATGCCAGATGAGATGGTGCAATGGATGACCATAAAGTGTGAATATCATAAGAAGCAGACAAACTAACAATGGCACCAAAGCCAGCTCTGGGAGAATTCATACTGTATGCACAGGCATGTTATAATCAGCAAGGTAAACACATCACAATCTGTAAATACCAAGGGCAAACACAAAAAGGAAATGCAAACACACACCAGCACTTAGTTATCTTTTTCTGGGAGGAGAACTAAGAATGTGATGTGCTGGTCATGGCCCACAGAGCCCTATAAAGGTTAGGTCCAGATTATCTGAAAAGCCATATCTCCCTATGCCAGTGTTTCTCAACCAGGGGGTTTGGACACCTAGAGGGGTCACAAGGGGGTGTCAAAGGGGTCGCCAAAGACCATCAGTAAACAGAATTTTCTGTTGTTGTTGGGTTATGGGGGGTTTTTATTTTTCTGTGGTGGGGAAAGTCCCAATGGCCCAATTTTTTTCTATCATTGTGGGGTTTCAGCAAATGCTCTTTTGTTTGTAGATTGAAGCTATAAAGTATCCCCAGCAACTAAAACCTCACCAACATCAAGGTCCTGTTTTCCCCTCCCCACCCCAAAACTAACACCTTGTTTTCACAATTTTTGGGCCCTGAGTATTTTGTACTAAGTTTTTGTCCCCCAATACATCATTGTTCTGGAGTTCCAAACTAGTGGCGGCTTCCCTGAAAATGTGAGGGTTAAGCTAACAATGCCAAAACCTAAGGTCCTAATGCACCACCGCAAAACCCTTCCATATTTTTTCTGTTTGGTCCCGTGGAGTCCTGTGTGGGCCCAAGTTTTGGGTTTTCAATTCATAGGAATACGGAATAATGGATGATGAGACTGGATTCTGATTTTACTGTTGAGGCGCTAATGATTGTTATACTGATGTTAATTATTTATGTGATAATTTTTTAAATTGCCCTATACTTGTTTTCTGATTTTTTTTGTACTGATGTTGTTCACCGCTTTGAGTCGCCTGAGGGCTGAGAAAAGCGGTATAGAAATGAAGTAAATAAATAAATAAAGTAAATAAAATAGGCAGGCAAATACATCCCCTTTGAGAGGCATATATAAAAATACACGCAACAAACTTGAGCCAAAGTTCAGAGCTCCAGTGGGAATGAAATACATCCTGCATATCAAATATTTACATGACGATTCATAACGGAGGCAAAATTACAGTTATGAAGTAACAACAAAAATAATTTTATGGTTGGGGGTCACCACAACATGAGTAACTGTATTAACTGGTTGTGGCATTAGGAAGGTTGAGAAATACTGCCCCATGGCAATGTGCTAGAAGGGAAGGTTTTTCCTCTCAATCCCACTACTATCACAGGTTTGATTCGTGAGAACATGAGAGAAAATTGGAACCAGAAATAAACAGCTAAACTTTTTTTCTTTCCAATTAAGAAAGCAATCTCTAAAGAAAAGGCCTAATCAAAATGTCTGAAGAGGAACAGAATTAGGGGGCGGATAAAGTATTTCCATGCTTTATTTAGACGCCTAATCCTTCTGTAGGAGGTGACCAGTCAGGGCAAACGTTCAAGGTTGCAAAATGAAAGTTCAAAAAAGCCGGGTTTTAAAATGAACTTTCCCTCTCCTTGAGGAACCACTAAGATCCCACCGAGCTAAAAATAGTATGTGCCCTAAAGTTTATAGTCAAATGCTTCACTGAGTACAAATAAGATATTATCTTTGAACAGTAAAATTCATTATTCCCTCTGGCTGACATTTAGCAATCTGTCTTAACGTTTTGTAATCTCAAGAAAAGAGTATGTGGCACCCAAACTGCACTTTACGTAAATGACTTTAAAAATCTCAGAAAACAAGGTTAACTGCATTGACTTACCAAATTCCCCTCTATCCAGTGTTACGATTTCAGGATCATCATCATAAATACCTGGTGAAGAAAAAACAGAGTCGGTATTGAAAAAAAATCCAGAGTTAATTAATATAGGTTATAATATTTAAAAACATCAGTCACTACCTCACTGTGCTTAACTATGGCCCCTTCCACACAGTTGAATAAAATCCCATATTATCTGCTTTGAACTGGAACATATGGCAGTGTGGACACAGATAACCCAGTTCAAAGCAGATATTTTGGGATTTTCTACCTTGATACCCTGGAATATAGGGCTGTGTGGAGGGGCCCTAAGGGAGAACACACTATCTCATCATCTTAATACTTAATGGTTACGTGTCAAAAGAGGAAAGAAATGCTAGGGTTGGTCCACCACTTTTGCAGGTTTTGAGGACTTAAGTGATTCCTTAAGATAATATATTCATCAAATTCACAAATAATCAAAAATAGAGAAAGTTGCAAATGTGAAGGTTGTATATGCTACCTGACAGTGACCACCCCCGGTGGCACAATGGATTAAACCCTTATGCTAGCAGGACTGAAGATCGACAGGTCAGAGGTTCGAATCCAAGAGAGCATGGATGAGCTCCCTTTGTCAGCCCCAGCTCCCCATGTAGGGACATGAGAGAAGCCTCCCACAAGGATGGTAAAACATCAAAACATCCGGGCATCCCCTGGGCAATGCCCTTGCAGACAGCCAATTCTCTCACACCAGAAGCAACTTGCAGTTTCTCAAGTCACTCCTAACACGGAAAAAAAGCAGCTGCAAACCAGCATTAAGGCCCCCTTCAACTCTATGTTTACTGTGGGCATTCTTTTCCCTCTAAGTCAGGGGTCCTCAAACTAAGTCCCGGGGACCGGATACGGCCGTTCAAGGTCATTTACCTGGCCCTCGCTCAAGCCTGAAACGACTTGAAAACATACAACAACAACAACAACAACACCAGCCAAAAGCAGGTTCTCACTTCCCATTGAAATATTAATAAGTTTATATTTGTTAAAACTGTTCTTCATTTTAATTATTGTATTATTTTAAGTGGGTTTTTTTGCACTACAAACAAAATATGTGCAGTGTGCATAGGAATTCATTCATATTTTTTTTTTCAAATTATAATCTGGCCCTCCAACAGTTTGAGGGACTGTGACCTGGCCCTCTGTTTAAAAAGTTTGAAGATCCCTGCTCTAAGTGTATTAATATATGTATACAAAGCCATGGCAGGTCTTGTTCTACTGACAAGCATGGAGCTTACCAAAATCATAGCGATAGAAGTGCCAGCTTTCATATCGTCCTCCCTGCTGGTGGTCATCTAAACCTTTCTCCCCATATTTATCGTATTTCTTTCGTAGGTCTTCGTCTTTTAATACTTCGTAAGCCCTGTTTATTTTCAAAAAGTTGTCATGGGCTTCTGGATCATTCTGCAAGAAAAAAAACCACATCTGGATCTTAACAGAATATTCAGTCTTGGAATCTTGGACGATATTTACGAAATGCCAATGGATGTTTCTGCAAATATTTGGGCTTTCAATTCAAAGATCACTCAAACCAGGTAGAGCTACCTGTTCTTGGTGGCATCCCTATTGATTGGACCTTGTATCTGCCAACTTTCTGGCAAACTCACAATTTCCCCTTAGGAACGAGAGTTCAGTCCACTCAGGCAAGTCTTCCAGTGTTTATGAAAGGCTTATTCATGGGCCAATGAGAAAGGAAGGTGTAGAAATTCATCTTCCTCCCGCCATCATTTCATCAGTACTTCTCAGAATTCAAATCTAGTAACAGAAATTATCACTAATGCCACCATAAACTATTGTTGGGGCACAATATAATGTAGGGGTTTGGTAGCATACATCAGATCTGCAACTCATCAAACTGAACACAGGCTCCTGATCATATAGGACACAATATGTTCTATGGCAACAATCATTTTGAATATTCGTTTTTTTTAATAACTTAGTTCAGTGGTTTCTCAACCTGTTGGGGTCCCCCCGCCCCAGTATGTTTTTTTTGGGCCTTCCGACTTCACATAATCCTATCAGCTGCTAAAAACTGCCTGGATTTCTGGTGATTGTAGGCCCAAAAAACACCATGGGGCACCCGCAAACAGGTTTGAGAACTCGACTGGACCTAACAATAAACAAGTTTGTTTTGTTAAAACATCTGCCCTGGTAGACGACATTACACTCAATCAACCTAACTATCTTATAACATGAAAACACTGATAATGTTAAGACTTCCCAGCTGAAAAAAAACCCCAAGAGCTGCTGAAGAAGCAACATTTTTTTAAAAAAAGTTGTAAACATTATACTAATTACCCATTACATTTCTCTACCACTATATCATGATATAACATGGAGCCCCTGGTGGCAAAGTGGGTTAAACTGCTGAACTTGTTGACTAAAAGGTCAGCGGTTCGAATCCAGGATTGGGGTGAGCTCCCGCTGTTAGCCTCAGCTTCTGTCAACCTAGCAGTTTGAAAACATGCAAATGTGAGTAGATCAATATCTACCGCTTCAGTAGGAAGGTAGCAGCACTCCATGCAGTCATGCCGGACGCATGACCTTGGATGTGTCTACGGACAATGCTGGCTCTTCGGTTTAGAAATGGAAATTAGCACCAGAGTCGGACATGACTAGACTTAATATCAAGGGGAAACCTTTCCCTTTAATTTCCATGATACTTAATTTTCAGAAATGGAAGGGGTTCACCACCCGCAACACTTTTAAAAGAAAGCTTTGTTCTTGCTCAAATGGAAAACATTTACTGCCAAGACGACCCACCTGATTCTTATCAGGGTGCAACTTTAATGCCAACTTTTTGAAAGCCTGCCTTATTTCTCTACTTGTTGCTTCTTTAGATATTCCAAGTAAACTGTAGTAGTCTTGATCAGGGCAAACAAAGGCCAGCAGGCACATTAAAACTATAGACAAGAAGACAATTCTTTTCAGCTCTCTGATGCACTTCATTTCAGGCAAGAGGGGCTCCATGATGAGTCCTTGAGTTGAGTGCAACTAAAGCAGGACAATGGGCTTCACGATACTGTAGTCAAAAGGGTTGCATATATCTCTGAAGAAGCGTCACATTGTTTTTTTGCTGTCATAATCCAGAAGATGATACTTGTGTTTCTCAAGCACCTATAAAAAGGAAACAAAAGCTTTCAGATTTTCTGTACTGTAGAGGAAAGTATTATCCATGTTTCTCTTATATCACTATGTTTACTACCGTAGTCCCCAGCTTCTATAGATATCATACTTTCACCTCGCTTGATGCCTCCATATTTTTTGGAACTGCTTCCCAAAACATTCACACTCAATTTCTCTTATTTTATCAAGTCTATCATGAATCGGAGCCCTCGGTGGCGCAGCAGGTTAAACCACTGAGCTGCTGAACTTGCTGTCCAAAAGGTTGGCGGTTGGAATCCTGGGAGTGGGGTGAGCTTCCACTGTTAGCCCCAGCTTCTTCCAACCTAGCAGTTTGAAAACATGTAAATGTGAGTAGATCAATAGGAAAGTAATAGGGCTCAATGCAGTCATGCTGGTCACATGATCTAGGAAACGTCTATGGACAGTGCCGGCTCTTCAGCTTAGAAATTGAGGTGAGCACCACCCTCAGAGTTGGACACGACTATGCATAATATCAGGAGAAACCTTTACCTTTACTATGAGGAAAATGCAGCTTTTACCAGATGTCTTCACTAAATCTCTCACCCTTTACTGAAGTTCCTATACTCTTTTCCAGGAGAAGGGATACCCATGGCATCCCAGATTTTGAAAATCCCACAATACCTGATTTGAACTGGGATATCTGAGTCCACACTGCCATATATTCCAATTCAAAGCAGATAATGTGGATTTTCTGCCTTGATATTCTGGGTTATATGACTGTGTGGAAGGCCCCCAAGATGCTATACTCCATTCCTAAAGCTTTAGCACTACAAATAGCATATTTAAAAGCGAGTAAAAACCTGGAAGGGATTAACCACCTGACTGACATGGAATTGATTCACCGATTGATTTAATTCATTTATAACCCGCCTTTCTACTAATAATGGTATTCAATTGTGGCTTACAACATATTTAAAACCATAGAAATAAAACTATAGGAATAAACCATAGGAATAAAACTATACAAAGCCATCAATAAACATGTGACTATAAGAGTTATTTCAAACACAAACCAATTAAAAAGTTCATTAAAAGAGCACACACACACCATATTAGCACAATGAAATGCAACTTGATAGAGATGTAGTCGTATAGTTCTCAGGAAATTGTATTACGAAGGTTATCAGGAAATGTCCTGGATCACCAGGAAGCAAGCTGCAAATGGCATGCAGAGCTAATGCCAGCTAAGGGGCATTGAAGGATGCCAGCACCAGGAATGTTAACAGCCTATCCAACAATTGGAGTAATGAACAACACTGTATTTTCCCCATTTTAGCAATAACATCTCAAGCTCTGGAATCTACCTGTTCACATACCTTTGAGTTAGACTCAGAATCACCAAATTTACAGGGCAGGGAGGTGTGCAAAAATCCAACAGGTGAAACTCTTTTCAGCATAGAAATAAAATAAACTCACCTGTTAACTGCTGCTGCTACAGACCTAGACAGGCAGCAACGGAAAAGCCCTGCAAAAGTGCATCCAGATAAAGTGTGCCTGACGAGAGATCCACAGAATTGTTCCTGTGGGGAAAGAACCAAGAGATAGAGTGAAAAAGAACATGGGCTAAGCGTGAAGGTGGAGGTGGCCAGCTCCATAAAGGTTTTGAGAGATTCAGCTATTACTTTCCGGTTCCATTTTTAAAGGTCGAGAGAGTATCTTTTTCAACCAAGGCCCTTTCCCCACAGCTGAATAAAATCCCACATTATCTCCCTTGAATGTTAATGTAGACTCTCAAATAACCCAGTTCAAAGCAGATATTATGGGATTTTCTCCCTTGATATTCTGGGTTATATGGCCCCAAGAGTCACATCCTTTCTACTTATTTTGGCCTTTGGTTAGTACAGATAGTTAAGCCCTAGCTAGCTTGGCCAATGGGCAGCTGGTAAGGAATACACAAACACACACACATTTCATACCACCTGCTCATTGGCCAAGCTAGCTAGGGCTTGCGCATTCAGAAGAAGACCTATAAGCCACTCTAACCTTTGCAGAAGTTTACGAGAAGCTCGGCCTGTCACTGAACATCGAGAAAACCAAAGTGCTGTTCCAGCAGTCACCAGCCAATCCCTCTCCAATGCCAGAAATACAGCTTAATGGTGTAACATTAGAAAAGGTTGACCATTTCTGCTACCTTGGTAGCCACCTCTCCACAAAAGTCAACATTGACACCGAATTTCAACACCGCCTGAGCTCCACAAGTGCAGCTTTTTTTCCCAAATGAAGCAGAGAGTGTTTGAGGACCAGGACATCCATAGAGCAGAAAATCCCACATTATCAGCTTTGGGATATATGGTAGTGTGGACTCTGGAGTCTTCCACACAGCTATATAATCCAGAATATCAAGGCAGAAAATTGCACAATATCTGCTTTGAACCGGGAGACAGTATATGGTAGTGTGGACTCAGATAACCCAGGGCCCTTCCACACATAGCCCTACATCCCAGAATGTCTGCTTTGAACTGGGGTTGTTTTTTTTTGTCGTGTCAGGAGCAAGTTGCTTCTGGTGTGAGAGAATTGGCCGTCTGCAAGGACGTTGCCCAGGGGACGCCTGGATGATTTGATGTTTTTATCATCCTTGTGGGAGGCTTCTCTCATGTCCCCGCATGAGGAGCTGGAGCTGATAGAGGGAGCTCATCTGCCTCTCCCCGGATTCGAATCTGCGACCTGTTGGTCTTCAGTCCTGCCGGCACAGGGGTTTAACCCACTGCACCATCAGGGGCTCTGGTGACACAGTGGGTAATCTGTCCACACTTGGATAATGTGGGATTTTCTGCCATATTCTGGGATATAGATCTGTGTCGAAGGACCCCCAGTTCAAAGCAGATGTTGTGGGATTTCCTGCCTTGATATTCTGGGTTATAGGGCTGTGTGGAAGGGTCCTGAGTCCACACTGCCATATATTCCAGTTCAAAGCAGATATTGTCAGATTTTCTGCCTTGATGTTTTGGGTTATAGGGCTGTGTGGCAGACTCCAGAGTCCACACTGCCATATATCCCAGTTCAAAGCAGATAATGTGGGATTTTCTTGATGTTCTGGGTTATATGACAGTGTGGAAGGGGGCCATAGTTTTGCAAAGTCTTGAACCTCCCCTGCCAAAGAGGGATGCCACCCCACCAAACTACAAAGGCCAGGATCCCATAGGATGGAGTCAAACAATAGTTGGGAAGAGGCCTCCCTTCTGCAGTGGGGATGCACCCCATGTGGCCCACGGGTGGGCTGAGGATCACTCATTTGGGGAGGAAGGCATTTGCAGGGAAGAGGAGGGAATATAAGGCAGAAGGGAGGCCGGGGGGGGGGGAGAGGAAAGGGGCTGCGGGAGGGAGGAGAAGAGGGCTTGCCTTTTCCCAGGCCATAGGGGAGCAGAGAGGAGCCTTACCGGGTGCTTGCGTGGGTCCCTCTCGTGGGTAGCCGGCACAGGGGAAGAGGAGGAGGAGGAGGAGGAGAGGAGGAGCCAGGGCCGGGCCGAGAGCGCGCAGGGCAGCCTGGGCTGCCAATGGGAGGAGGGGGAGGAAGAAGGAAGGAAAGCAGAAGGGAGAGGCCACGGATCCGGCTCTGAACAGGAGGCAGCGGAGGGCGGGAAGGGTTTGGGGTGTGTGTTTGTGTATGCATGCATATTCATCTCTTTCTTTCCCCTTCCAAGGCTGACGTGGCCTCCGCTCCTGCAGCCCAGGGAGAGGGCTCGCCTCCAAAGCAGGAGAGTGCGTCTGCACTCTGGAATGAAGGCAGTCTCGCCCCGCTTTAACGCCACACTTGGGAATTCCCGAGGGGTTTCACTCTGGGAAGGCACCAGCCTTGTTGAACTACAACTCCCCAAGATTCTACAATACAGGGCTCTTCCACACAGCCATATAACCCAGAATATCAAGGCAGATTCCCACCCCCACTCCGACTTGAGAAACTGCAAGTCGCTTTTGGTGTGAGAGAATTGGCCGTCAGCAAGGACGTTGCCCAGGGGATGCCCAGATGTTTTTGTTGCACTCCAGGACAAGGTTTAAAACACCACAGGTTGAGTCGGGAAAAACAATCCTTTATTGAAGATAAGTAAAAGCAGCAAAGTAAAAAAAAAGCACTTTAAAGGAAATAGGTAAATCCAATTAGGTAAGATAAGCAGGAACCAAATTAGTCCAAGGTAAAGTTAAGTTAGGAACCCCCCGGTGGCGCAGTGGGTTAAAGCGCTGAGCTGCTGAGCTTGTTGATCGAAAGGTCGCAGGTTCGATTCCGGGGAGCGGCGTGAGCTTCCGCTGTCAGCCCTAGCTTCTGCCAACCTAGCAGTTTGAAAACATGCAAATGTGAGTAGATCAATAGGAGCCCCCGGTGGCGCAGTGGGTTAAAGCATGAGCTGCTGAGCTTGTTGACCCAAAGGTCGCAGGTTCGATTCCGGGGAGCAGAGTGAGCTTCCGCTGTCAGCCCTAGCTTCTGCCAACCTAGCAGTTCGAAAACATGCAAATGTGAGTAGATCAATAGGTACCGCTCCGGCAGGAAGGTAACGGTGCTCCATGCAGTCATGCCGGCCACATGACCTTGGAGGTGTCTACGGACAACGTGCCAGCTCTTCGGCTTAGAAATGGAGATGGGCATCACACCCCAGAGTCAGACATGACTGGACTTAATGTCAGGGGACAACTTTTACCTTAAAGTTAAGCAGTGGGTGATAGTATAATAGCTGGGTCCGGAAGCTCTGAGCGTTATGCACATTTGGCAATGGCGGTTGAATGAATGAATTGTTTATTGTACCAGCCATAGGCCATGACATAAAATATACAACCTTTAAAAGTACAATACGCACTTTCCAATACAAGTATTAAAACAAGTTCCGTATACAAGCTCTTTACAATTAAAGTAGTGGCATAATAACAATTACAAATGTCTGGTTTGTATCATCCCCAAAATATATTAATTTCCATTTCTAGCTTCTGCTGTGGACTTTACTAGTTTGGCAATGGCGGTCGTGAATAAGGGAAGGGGAGAGCAGCACACTGAGGGCGGGAATATACTTCAATTTGGTGGAAGGATAGAAAGGAGGAGAGGGTTAGGATAAGGTTTAGGGTTTGGGGTAGGGTAAGGTTTAGGGTTTGAGTTAGGATTAGGGTTAAGGACCAGGCTTAGGGTTCGGGTAAGGGTTAGGGTTTTACCATTAAAGAATTCTTACATTCCTTCTATAATATCTGTGTTCTGTTCTGCGTTGCACAAACAGCGCTCTCAAAGGAGCGAAATGGAAAGAGCATAAGGCTCAGAGCTTCTGGACCCAACTTTCATACTATTACCCAGCAATGTCCAAAAACAAAGTCCACACTTCTCTAACAAAATCCAAAGAACCAGGAAACGTTGATCCAAGGTATGAGTATGTAATCACAAGAGACAAAAAGCCAAACTAAGAAACCCCTAAGCATGAATCTTCCAACCATGGCTTCCATGAAACAAGGGCAAGAACTGAGTAAGATTCTAAACTATGCTTCATCTGACTATATTTTCCATGCTTGGAACTTTTAAGCCCTTCCAAGCACTCAGGAACTGGTTTCACTTTCCTTGAGTGGCTCTTATCTTTTTCTCTCAGAGCCTAGCAGAACGCCGAAGGCATTGCTCAACCTGTCTGTTTTGACTAATTTCCGCCCGCCTATCTATATGCTCATTCGTTTCTGTAGGTGCCGAGTTGTTTTCAAGCCCCAAATCCTGGGAACTCTCTGGGAGCAAACCATCACCCCTATACCCTGTAGGAACATACTCATGGGAAACTACACTTTGAACCCTATGTCCTTCCCTGCAACAATATAACTGACCAAACCATTGCCATCTTGGACCTCATTTACATCATTCCCCACATCCAAAGCATCCTGATCGAGAAACACAATCACAGTCTGAACTCCAGTAGTTTTACCATCCTTGTGGGAGGCTTCTCTCATGTCCGCTCAGGGGGATCTGAAGCTGACCGAGGGAGCTTATCTGCACTCTCCTCGGATTTGAATCTCTGACCTGTCAGTCATCAGTCCTGCCGGCACAAGGGTTTAACCCGTTGTGCGACCGGGGGATTATCAAGGCAGATAATCCACAATATCTGCTGTGAACTGGGTTATCTGAGTCCACACTGCTGTATAATCCAGTTCAATGTGGGATTTTATACAGCTGTGTGAAAGGGGCTACAGATAGGTCCTATATCCCATGATCTGATCTCAGGGTTTCTGCTTTAAACGGGATTATATGAGTCCCCACTGCCAGATAATCTGGAATAAATGGAAAACCTGGGACCAGATACCAGGATATAGGGCTTGTTTGGAAGGGCCCTGAACAGTGCCAGATAAAGGGGTGTCAAATTGCATTCATGCTTCAGTGGGAAGCCCATGCAGAACAACTTTCATTAGACAGGAAGTCCCCAAGTTAGGAACAAGATTGCATATGTAGGTTTGTTCTTAAGTTGAATTTGCATGTATATTGTAACAGGTACATTTTATTTTTAAGTGTGACTCCAACCACATATATTTTGTTTATTCAACTCTTCGTGACCTCATGGACCAGACCACATCAGAGTTCCCTGTCGGCCGTGGCCACCCCCAGCTCATTCAAGGTCAAGCCAGTCACTTCAAGGATACCATCCATTCATCTTGTCATTGGTCGGCCCCTCTTCCTTTTTCCTTCCATTTTCCCCAGCATCATTGTCTTCTCCAAGCTTTCCTGTCTTCTCATGATGTGGCCAAAGTACTTCATCTTTGCCTCTAATATCCTTTCCTCCAGTGAGCAGTCAGACATTATTTCCTAGAGTATGGACTGGTTGGATCTTCTCACGGTCCAAGGCACTCTCAGAATTTTCCTCCAACACCACAGTTCAAAAGTGTCTCTCTTCCTTCGCTCAGTGTTCCTTATCAGTATATATGTGTGTGTATCAATGAGATAGGATAAAGAAGCTAGCCCCTTTACGTTTAGCAACCTTAAATATAGGAACACTAACTGGACGAACCCATGTATTAGCAAATACCTTGAAAAGTCGCAAAGTTGACCGCAAAGAGACAAAATAGAAGGGAATTCAAGCCAAGGACATTGGTGAAGGATACAAGTAATACTATCATGGCTGTCATTGCAAGCGCACACCTATGCAATACAGTCAATGAAGTAAACAGGGTTGAATGATCGCATTGTGACTATGAAAATAATGTCTGACTAGGAATAAAATTACATTGAAAACTGGAACAAAAGCGATCAGCAAGAAAATGCAGGAAGCAAGTCATAACTCTTCCAGGAGCGAATTTCCCTTCCGAGGGGCAGATTTCTCTCACTTCCTGTTGTCTCACCCCTGTTCTTTACTATGAGTCATTTGTAAGTGGATGTTTGTAACTCGGGGACTGCCTGTACTCTACTTTCTCCTTACGTAGTACTGCATTTTCTTTGCTCTAATACTGGATACCAAGAGCTTCAGAAAGCCCTGAACCCGAGTATATTGCTTGTCTTTCTCCTCCAAGGCTAGCCCTGCTATTGGGCATCCTGAGATAGCTGTCATGAAAGACCACTTGGACATAATGAATGGGAAGCTTTTCCTTTCCCTCAGGCAGTAAAATGTCTTGAGCTGCTGTTGCCTTCACCCAACCCAGTTTCAAGGATTACTTTGTTTCCTGTTACTCCACCTTTTTGTTCCACACTCTGCCTTTGTCAACAAACAGTCCTGCTCAGGTTTTGTGGACTCAGGGCAACCATGGCTTTCTCGACTGAGTCTATCCATTGGTATCCTCTTTTTCGACTGCCTTCTCCCTTATCAAGCCTTCTGGACTTTTCTCATGAGTCATGTCTTCTCAAGGTATGACAATCTCAGTTTTGTCATCTTGGGAAGGCATAATTGAGCAGATTTCCTCTTGGTCTGTGATTTTAGAAAACCCAAGCCCATCCCATTGTTTCTTAGGCTACTTCTACACTGCTGTATAATCCAGTTCAAAGCAGAAAGCGACACTTAGTTAAAATACCCGTAAACAGCCATCTTGCAGATGCCTTACTGATGGGGGCTGACATTTTTGAAGCCCCATAAACAGGAAAAAGTGTGCCTCAGATTCAATAAAATATATAACTGTTTACCATAGGGATGGAGAATGTATTACCTTCCAAATCCTTGAGGAATACTTCCCACTATGAGTTGCAGTTACTTCCATGCATTCAAGCCCAGGTATCCTTTAATTTCTATAAACTGTAATCCATGACATATGTGTTATGTTCTGTTGCATTCTTAGGGATGATGGGAGTTGCAGTCCCAACATACTGGGAGGGCCACAGGTTGTCTATCCTTGTTTGAAGGAGAAGCTTGATTTTTATTTTCTTATAATTCTCATAGAATTAGCATGGGAATTTGGTTAACTAGTTAAAATTCATGAGTAAACCAGGATTTTTTTAAACCTGAATATTGGGGGGTGGTGGTGGTTGGATTTGAACCCCACCTCCCCTGCTACAGCCCTGATGAGTACAGACACATGTATATGAAATCTTGTGTGAAATG